TCACGCATCGATCGATGAGAGACGGTGGCGAGCGGGGAGCGGGGAGCGGTGAGCGGGCGAACGCGTTCGCTATCGTTTTTTGAGAGATGTCAACAAACACACCATTTTGCATGCTGCCGAGTCCGGCCTTCCGCTCCTCCGTGCACTTATTGGCTCAGACGTTTTTCTGAATTAGGCCGATAATAATTACGATTTTGTAAAATTTTATATAACTTTTCTTCTCAGTTTAACCCAATCTACTATAATCTTTGGGGTCGTCCATATCGAATCTGACACCCTGTATAATGTTATCTAACATTTCTACGCATTTAAAGATATTTAGTCCTCTTTGTTTTCCTGTAAGTCGCTATTGTTGTACAAAATTATGATGTTTGTATTATGGACCACAAAGTATTACAACTGTAATGTCCAATGTCTCATGTATGGTCTCTGAGCCTACAATAAGTGCATAGAAGCTAAAAAAAGGAGTATATTTGCGATTTTTGCCAGTAAAGATAAAAATTCTTTTTCTTGTTTCGTTTTTAAGTGACTTTTTAAAATTATTTTTTACAATAATAGATTTATTTTCTATTATGTATGTCTTTACAACATTTCTTTTAGTAAATGAAATACTTTTTTTGAAGTTATCTCTACGATTTATGAATTTTTTTCATTCTGCAATTAAAGAGTAGGGGGTTCGTATTACCAACGTATTATGTCTCACTACTCAATTGTTCACTTTTCGATTTTTTTTTGGTACAGATTTTTTGTAAGTGAAGCATTATGAGCCGGAAGTTAGAAATAGATTGTCAATAGAATACGGAATCTAATTACAAGTATACCAGAATTGAAACCATTTAATTTAAAATTGAAAAAAATTAATGAAAATTCGTACGGCTTAAATGTGATAAATGCAAATTTAAAGGAATAAAAGACTGAGAACCGTGACAGGGTGTTAGTGTCTAAATAAGTGGTGTTCCATATTACGATTACCTTCTCTATATACGTAAGGGATAAAAAAATACACTAATACAGTATACTAATAAAATTACGATATATTCGCGAAACTATTTGAGCTCGTCGTTTTGTCGTGAATAGAACACACTATCGGTACTCACGAGAAGCCGCAGGTCAGGATGATACAGAACTCTGCCATTATTGTCAACAATAAACGAATATCCATTAACTCCTAACTGTAACGTAAGAAACACGCCAGTAGTACGTATGTACATTATGGTACTATGATACTATGGTACTAACTCAAAGAACAAAATACAAAATAAGCGCCGGTTGCACTAACTTTGTGGCTAGCTTTCAGCAAGTAAATCTTCCTTTCCGCGAACTTATATTCTAAAGATAAGTCGTTTCTTATTTTAAATATTTAATATTTTTCATATTAATATTCTTTTTATTTAACATTTCAAATTTTTCCGCTTCGTTTACATTCAACATAAACTATGAGATTTTGTAAAAAGAAAACTATAAAGAGCCAAGTATTTCTGAAACTAAGCCATTGGTGCAATCAAACTGAATAAAATAATGAGAAAAACATTAGTTCTCGTACCTTGTAAGGCGGCACGAGTTTCTGAATCTCCTCGACAGGTACATCGGTACCGACAATACCCAATAAATTAGCCGTTTTCACCTTAGAACGAGAATACACAAGATAAAGTACACTTTACTCGCGTCATTTCATGTATTAATATTAAAGTGCCGCTGTAATATTATATTAAAAAGCACCAACTATCGCAGCTATTGCTTTTAAAATATAATTACCGTATAATTCCGGCGATCCAAAATCGGAGCTGTCACAGACGTCATCAATTGGCCCCGATTTTCTCTGCCGTATCTACTACTCTGAAGGTCAATTGTCATTAATGTAGAAACACTGCAGAATTATTACGTACATACGGAACGGGCAACTACTGATATTTATTGTATACAAACAGTCCGTAAAGCGCGAGTTGATCGATGTAATTGACATAATAATTATTTATATATATATGTAAATTGTGAATTGGATCGCTTACTTTTCCACCTACGTAAGCAGGACTCCAGTGAAGGGGATGGTCATGCTGATACAGTACCATAGGCCGCGCTAAAACCTTGACGTACTCGAAAACTTTATTATGGATTTCGTCCGCATTCGTTATTCTCGCGTAAAATCCTATGAGATTGACATTATCAACATTAGAGAATATACAAAAGTTTCGTTAAGTATCTCCTAAGTGTTCAATATTATAAATAAGATATCAGTTTCTTATCCCTCGACTTCTCGCTTACACTCAATTTTTTCCCCTCTCTTAATTCTTACCGCTACATTTCCAATTAGATGTTAAATCAGCCAGTTTAGATGGCTGATTTAATTATAATTGCAAATTCTCGCAGCGTCTCGTAACTGAAGGTACAATAGAAAAAAAATAGGAAAGAGGGCGCGAATCTTACAACAAAGGAACAAGAAAATGGATAAAGTAGAATTTTTCAAGACCTCATTCTCCAGATAAATGATTTTGGAACTAAAAAAATTTATATTCGCGCTTTGTTGTGCCCTTGAATAATTTTTAACAATCTTTTCTCATTGCGTTCCGTCCCAATAGCGGTTATTTTCTACCTTTACTTTGCATTTTTCGTAATTATTCGCAAAAACTTAATTAATAAAAATCTGCAAATGAGCATGTGATTCAGTGACAAAAGGTAACCCGGCGTTGCGCATTTTCGACCGTTGCTAGAATGCGCTCCTCCCAACGTTTCACCGTGCGTGTAACAATCACAATCGGTACGTGGATTGTCTCTTATTCACTGCACGCTTGAATTTGCCACTGGACCGGGTGGACAAAGAAATTAATGGCCAAAGATCTCCGCTCATATTCGGAGTTCTTTAGTTATTAATTTCTTTTTGAATCATTACAAAAATTGCAAAATGAATTTTCCATTCAATTTAATCCGCTCTGTCTATACGCGCACACCCGCAGAAAAGATTTCTGGATCCAATGCCACTTACAGCTGTCATAAAAGAATCAATATAACGACAATCATATTTGTTATTGAAAAAGGAATATTTTTCATCTTAATGAGAAATTAACCAATAAGAATATTCTTCAAGTCGCCAGTAATTAACAACTTCAGTGTTTACTTGGCCATATCTGGCATTTTTAATAATACAGAAAGTTTATTGCGAAAAATATTACCTCAGTCAGGGTTTGAACCTGGACTTCCCTATACTCTAGGTGGGCATCTACATGCCTCAGTGGTCGAATTGTGAGACTTGTATTTTTTTCGCAATAAACTTTCTGTATTATTAAAAATGCCAGATATGGTCAAGAAAATACTAAAGTTGTTAATGAAAAATGTTTAAATTTGGAATAAAACGATGTCCGCGCGTGCGTTATCCCTTTGAAAGATACTTAGAATTGCAAAAGAATGCAAATTTTCAGACGCCATTATGAATTTTGTAATTCTGACCTCATATGTGTAATCAGCAACCTTAAAAAATTCCGAGTATCGAGTTCCAGATAAATCAATTGCATTTTCTGCAATTTCGACCCTTTATATTATTTTTGTGCTAAACCGATTCGTCATCTGGGATTAAAAAATTTTCAAATTTCGACTTCAGATTAGAAATCATTGATCTCAAAAGCCCCCAGATACCTCATAGTTTCGGAATACCGTTCATAGGAATAATTTTTTGATTATAGGGCATTTTATAGAATTGATTATAGGACATTTTATAGAAAACAAAATTTTTTTAACATCAATGATTTTTATTGACCGTATCTGGCAATTAAAATTCTTATTGCGAAAAATATTACCCCAGCCAGGATTCGAACCTGGGACCTCCCTCAATCCGTGACGGGCGTCGAGCTGGTTAAGACGCCCGTCACGGATTGAGGGAGGCCCCAGGTTCGAATCCTGGCTGGGGTAAT